TATTAAAGCTGTAGGTTCTCTGTCAGCTGAGGTCGAGCTGTTTTAATATGCATTGAGTTCTATGGGGAAAATTTCTGGGTAGCCCACGTGAATTTAGTCTGGTTCAGTCTGCAGTACCGCGAGAATCCCCTGAGCACGTGAGTTATTCAGCTACAAGCTAGTAATACCCTATCCAGTTATTATAATAGATCCATGGATTCAGCCCAGACTGCTGCTGCTGCTGTGAGAGGTCATTCTCCTACGTCATCGCCGCCATTTTGCCCCCCCCTAGCGTTTCTATGCGGAAGTGAAAAGGTGCCACTTCAAAGCGGTTTTTTTTAACATAATTCATCTGAACATGTCAAAATGAACACCCGAAATATTATAAACACATTGTAGTTATATATTCTGGATAGCAGTATATTAAATTCTAGCACTACTTTAACCTCACTGTGAACAATAGCTATTAGCGTTAACTTTTTAAAAAGTTAGCTTGTAGATACACTCAGGTTTCACATAGCTAATGTCAAATATGAAACGTGAAAGCTACAGCCATCGCAAAACTTAAGATTTGGTTAGGTGCCCACTGCCCAGTCTCATGCACAGCTGCGCACTGTGTTGGAGCCTGAACTTGTATTGCAGACTGATGCATTAGCTGCCGCTAGCTACTAAAAAAAGTTCATATTTGGCAATATACAGCTTTATACATTTCACCTCAATTGGTTCACGACCCACAGGGCTGCGTCTGTTGGAGTCGAGTTAGCGAGCAGACGAGTTTATAGCGGGCTGCTACCCAGGCGGAGTGAGTCAGCAAGTGTGGGAAAAAATGGCCAGAAGCTCCTGCAGTCGCAGACACAGGCTGTGTCCAAAACGGTAGGCATCGGGCCGCGTAGGGTGGATACGTAGGCATCGAGGGAAGGCCGCGTAGCCACAGGCGAGGTAGGAGGCGAGACGTGATGTGGATTTGGACAGCAGCTGCCTTCTGCCTTCGTCACATGACTACACAACTCAGAGCGAAGCGGAAGGACACGGCGGCCATGATGGACGGTAAAAAGTTCTAAATACGCTTTAATTAGGACATAAAAGTTAATTCTAATATCATTTGAGGCGAGAAATATCCCCCTTTATTGTCATATCAGAAGTCTGTTTGGAGATAAATTCGAAAATTTTCGGACTTTACCTCCAGCCTGAAGCTCCGGTGCTATAAGCTAACAGCCCAGTTAGCTGCAGTGCTGAAGCCCAGAACAGGCTGTCTAAACACGGGTCCACGTAATGAGAGCCCCCTGGATGTTTACAATCGTATTCTGAAAAAACAGAGGATGCTTTTGTTGTTACACTTTCTCTGTTATAACAATTGTATTGGCAGTAATCATTAGTTTTTACAAAGTTATATTTTATGTAAACAATGCAAATATATGCAATAAATGATTATTAGTTATGGATTATATATTTGCTATGGCCCTCGTTTGTGCATCACTTAAAAGTAATTTTATCAGACCTAAATGTATTAACGTGTGTTTGCTGATGAGAGAGAAACATCCATTTATCTATAATAATAACTGACACATCCATTTATCTATAATAATAACTGGCACATCCATTTATCTATAATAATAACTGGAACATCCATTTATCTATAATAATAATAACTGGAACATCCATGGATCAATAATAACTGACACATCCATGGATCTATAATAATAACTGACACATCCATGGATCTATAATAATAACTGACACATCCATGGAAACATTCACAGACATCTGTAAAATGGAGTTGAACACAGATGTTTGACACTGCTATTATTCACTTTTATGTCTCTTGAAAAGCTAACAGACCGTTACTAATCACATTTGAGTTTAATGTATTCAATTATAAGTATAAGTACTGCTGACAAATATGTAGTTGTGTAAATAATACCTCACTTTGATGACTCTTTACATTTCACACAAACAACAAACACCCTGGTGCACACCGGGGTAGTCTTGCACAGTTGTTCCTATGTGGTTTTACTGCAAATGGCAAATAAATGAATCTGATAATAAAACCAACAAGTTTGATTTTTGTTTTCTTTATTTCCAGGTTTTCTGTGAAGTGCTGTCGATGAGACCTGTGTCAGAGGCAGACGCCCAGGACTCTGCTGTTGCTCCTGCTGCTGTTGCTCCTGCTGCTGTTGCTGCTGCTACTGCTGCTGCTGCTGTTGCTCCTTCTGCTGCTGCTGTTACTCCTCCTGTTGCTCCTTCTGCTGCTGTTACTCCTCCTGTTGCTCCTCCTGTTGCTCCTTCTGCTGCTGCTCCTTCTGCTACATGTCTTCAGAGATGCAGAGCCCACTGTTCTAACTATTCATGACTGGTGATTAAAGGAAAATATTATATACAAGTTTGTTGTAGTTCATAATGTTTTCAGCAGTGAAGCAGGAGGTGATGGAGGTGAAGCAGGAGGTGAAGGAGGTGAAGCAGGAGGTGATAGAGGTGAAGCAGGACGTGAAGCTGGAGAAATTATGACCTTAATTTCACCACAAGTCTCTGAAAAAGAAGAACACAAAAATCATGCATTAAAACACAGCCCACATTTAGGATTCTTTTTACACTTCATATTCAATTAATACTATTTATTTGGGGCTTTGCAAAAAACTGGTTAAAAATAAAATACAGAAATCCTTACAGTATTTAATATTAGAGATACAAGCTTCACAGCAGGGGAAACAGAAGAATGATATGATAGAAATATACACAAATAATCAAGTTATGAGCATGGCTACCCACTTTAAACCTGTGTTTGTGGAAGTGGGACTTTGTCCTTTGCAAATGTCTTATTAATGACAAACGAAACCTCTGTATAATGTGTGTTTACTATTTATTAGACTATTGTATGAAAAGGGCTTTATAATTATTCTTGGCCTATTCTATAATTTCATATGTCTAATATATACAGTTTTCCCAGTCTCAGTATGGGATTAAAAACGATATGCACAATCTATTTTATATGAATACAGAAAACATGTGTTAGCATACTATAGCTGCTGTGCTGCAGTGATTTTCCATGAAAACGTGACCATTTCCTCAGTGTAGCTTTAATATTTAATCAGTGGGTTTGTTTCTCCCTAAAAGATAAAACACAACATGATTTTTCTTGTTCAAAAACCGAATCTGAATGAACTAGCCTCGTAGCATTAGCTTTTTGGGCCTGAGCTTATTTACAGCAGATAACAAGGTTAAATACACACATCTGTGGCAGATCTAATTTATGTCTGTGTTTTATCATAACAGTCGTGTTCATAACTCAACAGTAAAGTATAGCAGTACTTACTATAGACATAACTTAACAGTAAAGTATAGCAGTGCTTACCATAATGTTAGCTCCAGCAGGTCCGAGCTGAGTCTGTTGTTTACATGTTAATGCCGAACGGAGTTCTGCGCATGCGCGGCCGTGACTCGGCAAAAAGAAGGCAACGAAGCATACATCAGATGCATCCTTCATATCTGCTCCAAAAGTGGCCGTTTCCATAGAGACGAAGTCACGATGCCTACGCTTGGCGAGCTCGCCAAGTGGTTTTGGACACCCCTGCAATAGCCGTCGCTTGAGGAAGCGACGTCACGAGCCTACATATCCACCCTACGCGGCCCGATGCCTAGCGTTTTGGACACAGCCACAGAGAACTAACTTAGCATATTTAGGCGTAAAAGCACCGGTGAACCTAAGCAATACTCAGCCCCTCCATAGTAGTCAAATTAGAGAAAAAGTAATCTCACAGGAAAAAATGCATTTTAAAGCTAAAATTACGTTAGTATATCGTCTGGGGAAAGCGCCAGCATTGTTAACATGGCGACAAATGCAATGCAAAGAAAAATCGAACGCGGTCACTAGACATCCATTTATTAACACATTTCCACAGCACAAAGTAACAATAAATGGTAAGTCGTCTAGAAATAAAAGTTCAATGATATAACAAACTTACGTTGTCGAGTCGTTCATCACATTTGCACAGTGACGATAATGTCGTCTCTTCAACTGCAGAGCGAAGTGAAGGGGGAGGGAGTGAAAAGAAGTAAGAGGCGGGAAATCACGGTGCATGCTGGGAGTCGGAGTTCTTCGACTCAATGCATTGCAGTTTTGTAAGGCAGAATTCTTGAGTTAATGCATAACTTTTTCTACTGTAGACGCGAAATGCAAAGTCTATTTTAACTGCAACATTGATGATGTAGAATTTTGATATATTAAAAGTAGAAACTTATCAAAAATTCATCAAATGAACAATGGAGCGATCCAGAGGGCGCCGAGATAATACGTCACACACTTGCCGCACATTTTAACACGTCACACCCTACGCAGAAGAAGAACTTAATTTTGAACTTTGGGTCAAAGTAATAAATCCCTTTTTTGTTAAGTCATGCCTGTTTTAGTTGTTTGAAACCAAATATTTCCTTTGAAGTCAAAACATGATAAATGTACTTTTGTTTTACGTACATTTTTACCTTGCTTCAACTTGGGTCTAAATACACTTCTTACAGTGTATACAAGTGCACATGGTGCACACAATGTAAGGTGACAGCAGTACAGTGAAGTAAAGTGACGTATGATGGGCAGTAAAGTGACTTTATAAAGGGCGGGGGGACAGGTTAAGAAGTGTTCAAGAGTCCAACAGCAGAGGGGAAGAAACTGTATATATTACTATTACAGATTCATGTTTATGTGTGTATCTATTTATGTATGATATGTGTATACAATATATACATGTATGCAGGGTTCGAAATTAACTTTTTTGATCACCAGCCAAAGTGGCTGGTGACTTTCTGAAGTTACCAGCCAATCAGAATTTCCATTAGCCAAATTTTTACGTTGTGAAAATAAGAGATTATGAATGCCACTGAATGAAAATGTGATAATTTTATTAACAGTGCATGAAAAACGCACAGAAAGTGCAATACACAGAACAGACTATACACAGTTATAAACTGTTATAAACTTAACTTAACTATATCATTTCCAAGTTGGATAATTAACAAGTTCCCTCTCAGAATCAAATATCTTCAGAGCTCTCTGAACTCGCTTCTTCCTCTGAATCTGAAGTTTCTTTGGTTATGTTTTTGCGCACAAACTCAGGCCTGCGTCTGCGTAAACCGTCAACATGCCAGATGTTGATGGCTTTGGTTGGATCAAAGTCTTTGATGTCAGGTGAACACAACTGGGTTTTCAGGAGGTCAGAGAGGGACTCACCTTTCAGGCGTGAACGCCAGTCACTCTTTACCTGCTTCATAACACTGAACCCTCTTTCACAGTCAGCTGTACTTGCAGGAATGGTGAGGAGAGCATCAAATAGGTCAAGGATGTCAGGACACCGATGGCGCAGCATTCTGTTCACAGTAGGCCAGGTTTTCTCAATGGTTCCTGCTGCAGGGTCAGACAACATTATACTCTTGCAAACAATCATTTTAAAATGCAACTTTATGTTGTTATTAAAAGATGTCATCAAAATTTGTATTGCACTTTTAACAAAATAAATTTGCTCCGATTCCTGATAAACAAAATAAAACTGTCTTACACTATTAAACATTTAGCTTTTTAAGCACTTATATATCAGGTATATCTGTGTGATTTTTCAAGTACCTTGGCTAAATCCTGCTGTGTACAGTTCAGCCTTGAGAATAGTCCACTGATCAGGGATCAAGTCCACATCCACACCAGCAGACAGCAGAAGAGGTCGGAAGTGACTAATCAGCTTGTTAATCTCCTCATCACCAAAATCTGAGAACAAGGGAAAGCATTACTACAAAGTTCAGAAGTTGTCTTAAATCATGAAATGCATTGAAAAGATTTGTCCATTACAAACCGGAACTCGTGTCTGCCTCTGGCCAGCACTGGAAACTAGCCAGTCGCATAGCATGCAGGACACCACTGTTCACATCACTAAATCTTGCAGTGATGCATTGGCACAGAGAATCGATCAGCTCATTCTTTGCCTTGTCATGCTGGCCGGCATCAGAAGGCTTCAGGAGGACTCCCTCATAGGTGTCTGTGTCCAGCACTGATCTCAGCTTTGGCCCAGGTCTAAAGTTGTGCAGATAAATGGATGAGTGTATTTTCATCCATGCATCGATTTGAAAACACACCAACACAACCTAAAATCAAAGCATACATGGTAGGATTCATACCTTGACTTGTACTTTTCTATAACAGCCTGAGTGGAAGACAGGCATCTCTGAGCTTCAGCCAGGGTTGACACGGACCGCTGCAGTGACTTGGAGAGGTTTTTCAGTTGATAGATGGTGTCATGGAGAAGGCAGCAAAACCTGAGCACTACACCATTCTTGGCTATGTTGAGGAACCCCTTGAACTTTGCCCTCAGAACAGCATTGGTGTGTGTGGTATCCTGGGACTACAAACAAAACAACTATAATTATATCATATACAACATTTAAAATTGAAACCCTACTAATTTTATTAGGCTATAAATTAGCATACCTTCTCCTCTAAGTGGTGGACAATGCCAGCATATCCCCTGAGAAAATGGTCAAGTGCATTGAAGAGATGTGGTAGCCACCGGGTTCCACCTATTCTGGTTGGCATCAAAGCTTTCATGTGGAGCTCCCTGAAGTGTTCCTTTAGGCTGGCCCTGTTTACACCACTCTTATGATATAAGGTGTAGAGTCCACTCAACAGGTCCTCAACTTTCCTGACCATCACATTCTTCCTTATTCCGTCCGAAAAGGAGAGTTCAAGCTTATGGGCCATGCAGTGGATCCCAAGCACACTTGATCTGTCTCCACGCAGTTTTGTAACTACACCATTGTTTACTCCTGTCATTACAGATGCTCCATCTGTGGTGATGGCAACCAGCTTGTTCTTCCAATCAGTGCTGACATCACTGTCCATTATACTGCACACAGCTTCAGCTATATGTGCAGCATCTGGCTTTGAGACAGCTTTAACCCCAACAAAATCAACTTTGACTTTTCCCTCACTAGCACTCCTGACATAAACCATTTCTTCTTCCATCACTGCACTGTCCAGGGATCCATCTGACATGACTGAGATGAACTTGCCGTCTGATAATCTTGCTTTCATCTTTCTCCTCTCATCCTCTGCTATGTAGTGTATGAACTCTTTTGCTTGGTGGTCATTTGTATATGTCTCTCCTATCTTCAAGCCTTTCTTCCTGTCCACTCTAAATTCATTATCATGTGAATAAAGCCAAAGTTAGTGCCTACAGAGTATATTTACTTTTCAGTGGGGTTATTAAAAATCAAACCTAACATTTCCTCTGTCTCATAGCATGCACGTCACTGTATCATTTTAAATGCACTGATTTTGAACATGTAAATAAAATGGTCGATTCACTTACTCACACATCCATGCGAAGTCGGTGAAAGGTCTGCCCTTTTTTGCGATGGCATGGGCATTTCTAAAAAGAAGTTGCATCTTCTCCAACTCCGAAGTCTTCAGTGAAGTGAGGCTTCTCCCCGCAACACTGTCTTCAACGGGAACCGTCTTCGCAGTTTTTATTTGAAGGCTTTCCCGGTGACTCCTAGCTTTCTCGTGGTCCTTCACTGCCTCGATTTTAAAATTACTGGTACCAACAACGAAACTGTTGGTTTTATTTTTGTCTTTCGTGTACTCACGGCAAATCTGACAAAACATGACCGAATTGTTACTATCAAACACTAACCAGTTACGACCTGTCTGCCATTTACAACTGAACTTCCTTCTCTTTGTTTCGCATATTCTGTCAACATTTTCATCTTCTGGCTCCTTCCTCTTCTCACTTCTTCCTGATCCTGACGTTTGTTCTAACCACCGCAACATTTTAGTTTATTTCGCTGTCCAGCTCAGTCCTCTCATCCGATATTTTCGCGTATCTGCGCTGCAGCCAATCTGCCAATAGGTATCTGAAACGTCACCAGTAGTGTAGTGTTCATGGGAAATGTAGGACGGAGGGGACAAACCACCCAGAGCGTCTCTGACATGATTTGCATGATTGGCTCATGCATCACCGGCCAAACTGGCGGGTAGGTTTTTTTTAGTACCCGCCAAAATGATTTTTAACCCGCATTTGGCGGGTTGGCGGGTGTTAATTTCGAACCCTGCATGTATGTATATAATTTTTTATATTTCATCATTTTTTATGGTTTTTATTTCTATTTCTATAATGTTTTTGTTTGTTTGCCAATGTTCTCTCTGTGCCTGTTAAGCACCCTGCCTGATTTCAGTCGCTGTAAAACTATAAAAGAAATGTTTAATATTTAAATCAAGAAAACTAAAACAAAGAAGCGTTACAGACAGTTTTAAGCCAACAAAAAAAACAATTGTATTTATTATTATTTATTATTTTTATTTGATTTTTGATGCAGTGTGCTTTGTTTCCGGTTCCCTCAGATGATTCTCTCTCTCTGTCCGTTGGCTAGCTACATGCTAACTCACAAACAGAGCTAAAAGTCCAAATCAGACACGTGTTCATACAGTAGCATTAAAGTTTTAAAGTTCCACATGTGCCTCTAGTTTGTGTTATCACCCTCACTTTCAGATCGTACAATAATCTGATCATGAGGGGTTCAAACTAAAGTCTTAGTTTAGTCTCTTTAAAAGTTCTGTGCTATTTCTTTTGCTATCACCCTCTCGTTCAAATTCAAGACAAATCCAAACACGAGGGTTGGAGCAATGCTAGTCGGTTAGCTGCTTGCTAAAGGCGATGGTAAAAGTGAACAGTTTTGCTCACTTTTACCCCCTTTATCAAGCTAACCCCATTAAACCCCTCAGTAGCTAGCATTGGGGTCTTGTAGCTAGCATTGGGGTGTTGTGAGGGTGTGGATGTTTACTCGTCGATGGTGGGGCAGCAGCAGCATGTGTCACAGAAACGTTTGAACACGCGGCTCAGAAAAGACTTCTTTCGCATGTTGTGCTCGAGGTGGTACTGCAGGGACTTCAGAACCGTCTTGTCAAAAGTCCGGTCTTTTCCGTCCAAAGCACTTTCCAACATTCTCTGTGCCGTGCCGTACTGCGATTTGAGGTCTTTCAAAATCGCGTCAATGATTTTACTCATTCTCTTCTCCGTTTTCTTTGCCTGGTGTTCAGAAAGCTGGATCTCCTCCCAGGCCTTTTCTGTCAAACGGTCGCGAATCACTTTGTATTTTATGTCCCACGGACGCAGAGCTGCCTTTCCCCTGAACGTCTCAATCATCAAAGCCTCTATCAGGCCGAGAGTCATGGACTGGCCCTCGGACAAGTCTCTGTCACTGATTCTTCTCATGCCCTCTGGGGTTTTCAGGACAACCGCCGGGACGTCCTCAGAGATGAAAGAAGGCAGCTCTACTTTGGGAGGTAGCATGGACCTCTCGAACAGGTCGTACTTGTGACTCCTAAAAGAATTCTCAGAGACGCCTGAGATTGTCCTGGTGCTGAACTCTGGTGTGCGTAAGACGATCGCCGGAACGTCTCTAGAGATCTGCGATGGCACACAGGCTCTGGGGTGCACCATAGACCTCTCAAACAGGTTGTGTTTCTGGCTGTTGAAAGACTGCCCTGACAGTTGTTGAAAGTCCACCTGGACGGGGACCGACCCTTGAGAAGGAATGGACACATTATACGTCAGGGCCTGCTGGGAGTTGGGCGACAGAGGCGGCTTCTCCATGCACAACTCAAACAGATCCTGGCGGTAGAAGTTCTCCAATGGGTCTTGTGCTATGTAATCCTGGAGGCTTTGAAGGTAATTTGATACCTCGCTCTGCACCGTGGCGTATGTCTGCTGCAGGCTATAGCGCCTGAGCTTACATCTTACTCTTGTTTTCCGTGTGTATGTCTCCTCAGGATCTTGGTTCTGGAACTCACTCCTTATGTTCGGTGACGCAGCAAGAGAAAGTCCGTTTAGGATCTGAAAGTGACAGTACATTGTGTCTGTCAGTGTCTTAACAAAGATAGTGGTTTGCTCACTATCCAAGGCCTGGGCCAGTCTTTCTCGACTTGTTTCTGCGTCAGGACTTGTCGACAGATCTAACTTTCTAAACAACTCTTCTATGTCTGGTTGAAACTGCTCAAAACTAACTTCTGGAGTTTTTCCCAGGTCTGGGAAACTCCCACAGCTCGACCCACTCGACAAACTCCTCGTTTGTGGCTCTATCTCTTCAACCAGAAGTTCTGCCTCCAGATCTTTCTGCATGCTTCGGAAATTCTTCTTGGCAAATCTGAGGAAGCTGCAGCGGCACGGCCCACTTTCCGAAGATTCCGACTTCTTTGTGGCAGTGCGGCGGCCGCAGGAACAGAACAAGGAGCGAAGGCACCTCTTGAGGCAGGAGTTTCCCTTCTCGATCATGCTGCGAGCCACACTCTCGCTGCTGATAAGGGCGTCCACCATCACAGGGCCCTCCTCCTGCTCCTCAGAAAGGACACGGTTCACCTTCGCAGACACCTCCTGCTCGATCAGGGTGGTGAGCTCCTGCAAGTCCTGGTGTTTGTCCAACGAGTCCGTGGGCAGATTCAGAGCCTGAGAGAACACTTGCCCCATGGTGTCCTGCAGCACAGTGACAATAGATCCGTGAGCTCGGGTCGCCTCGCTCTCACTCAGGAACCTGTTGTTCACCTCGCGTCTCGGAACCATCAGACCCAAGACGTTGGCGGACAGCGTTTGGACCAGCGAGATAAACATGGCGGTCAGAATACGCCTGGTCTCCAAGTCGCACATGCCTCTGGACAACATCACCCACTGACTGCCACTGATCTGCTCAAAGTGGCTCCTCACAATCTGCAGCGAGGCCTCCGACGAGACCGAGATCTCACTGAAGCGACCCATTCTCTACAGATGAGTCTAAAGAATAAAGAATTAAAGGTACTAGGGTTCTACGACACCTGGTTCTACAACACCAGGTTCTGTGACCCGTTTATCCGCGACATGTGGTAAACTTGCTTTGATCTGATGCTTTGACTCCCTTTGACTCACTTTGACTCCCGTTGATTTGACGCTTTGACTTCCTTGGACGTGACCCACACACGCGATCTCTGGTGGAGAATCTTAATGACCTCATCAGAATGACATGATGGCTCCATGGCAACCATCTGTTGCCGTGGAGACGAGTGAGTTGACTGTGGAGTTGTGAAGTGGGCGGGGCTTTCAGGTTCTGAAATTAAATTCCAGAACTCTTTGGTGTGTTTTTGGTGGTTGCCGTGACAACACATTTACAACACAACAATCAAACACACAAAGCTGTAACTGCAGCTGTTTATTCTGCATTGATACAAGTTCATGATTATTATAGGACGAGTTTGGAAACACAGAGTTTATATAATATATAGTTTCATATACAGTGCCTTGCGAAAGTATGTTGAACCTTTCAACATTTCGCCACATTTCAGGCTTCAAACATAAAGATATACATTTTTTATTTTTTGTCATGATTCAACAACAAGTGGGACACAATCGTGGAGTGGAACGAAATGTATTGGATAATTAAAACTTTTTTAACAAATAAAAAACTGAAAAGTGGGGCGTGCAATATTATTCGGCCCCTTTACTTTCAGTGCAGCAAACTCAGTCCAGAAGTTCAGTGAGGATCTTTGAATGATCCAATGTTGTCCTAAATGACTGATGATGATAAATAGAATGCACCTGTGTGTAATCAAGTCTCCGTATAATACAAATACAGGACCATTCTGGAAGAAAACCTGTTGGAGTCTGCAAAAGACCTGAGACTGGGACGGAGATTTATCTTCCAACAGGACAATGATCCAAAACATAAAGCCAAATGTACAATGGAATGGTTCACAAATAGACGTATCCAGGTGTTAGAATGGCCAAGTCAAAGTCCAGACCTGAATCCAATCGAGAATCTGTGGAAAGAGCTGAAGACTGCTGTTCTCAAACGCTCTCCATCCAACCTCACTGAGCCTGAGCTGTTTTGCAAGGAAGAATGGCAAGAATTCCAGTCTCTCGATGTGCAACACTGATAGAGACATACCCCAAGCAACTTGCAGCTGTGATTGCAGCAAAAGGTGGCGCTACAAAGTATTAGCGCAAGGGGGCCGAATAATATTGCACGCCCCACATTTCAGTTTTTTATTTGTTAAAAAAGTTTAAATTATCCAATACATTTCATTCCACTTCACAATTGTGTCCCACTTGTTGTTGATTCTTGACAAAAAATTTAATTTTTATATCTTTATGTTTGAAGCCTGAAATGTGGCGAAATGTTGAAAGGTTCAATAATATAGAATACTTTGGCAAGGCGCTGTATATTTGGTTAAAGAATGTTGTTTCAGACGATACGACACAAACACAAGTGACAGTTGGGACATAAAAAGCTGCTCAGTGATGGAGGCAGAGGGAGCATGTGTCAGTCTGCCCCAGGGCAGCTGTGGCTACAGTAGTAGTTTATCCCACCGTGTATGGAGTGAAAGAATAATGCCATGTCAGGCGTCTTTGAGTGTCCATAATT